CTTTGAGGTCGGCATCAAATCTGCGTTATCGCAAGTAGACGAATACACCGACGTACCGCCTCAAACACACACTTATCAATAATACAAGTAGGCACATCCTTAAATGACCTTGACTGTTAATAAAATGCCAAACTCAATAAACCAAACAGCCAATGTATTAAGTTGTTTAAATGTCCCTTATCATTGTCGTCTGGCATGGCCTGATATGACCTTACAGTTGCTTTACCGCTAAGCAAGTAACTAACCAAAAAGACATTGATATCTTATTGCATCCTTTTACGTTTTAACATCTTAGTTTAAGCTTGATGTATTTCGTTTTGTTAACGTTAATATTAACTGTATCTTTGCCTAAAACGACTTAAGTTGTCGAAGAGCCATTAAATAAGCATACGAAGTTATTCGACTCTTATGGAGTGACTGTTTCATTCCTGTCTTTTGACACTTAAACTGAATAAAAAAATATATAATTGTGATAAATTGGTGTTTGTATATCCCTAATCGTGTATATTGTGTTTAGAGTAATGGGTTGATAAGGATGATGGGGCATGCATTTAGTACAGGCTTTAATTGACACCGGGAGGGGGGACCATACTGATAGCGGGCAGGCTGGCACATGGCTGAGCCGGAGAGTTGACCTTTAAGGTCATGGGAGCTGTCACTGCTACAGGGCTGACCTCTGAGGTACACCTAGGAGTAATAGATGGGGGAGACCAGCGTGGGGTCCGGGGAGAAAGGGGAGTGATCTAGTGGAGGACAGACGTGATTAGGCTGTCTCCTGTATAGCTTAGCTGAGGTAAATTAGCTAGGGGATTCTCTCAGGTTTTTTTATTGACTATGCTGACCGTGATGTTGTACGTTGTATATAAAGTGTAAATAAACTTGTAAATAGAACTCTGCTGTGAAATGTTGTATTCTGGAACCCTCCTCCCCGTCACGTTACAATTTGGTGGCAGCGTCGGGATTAATTGACCGGTGATATTGTGTATAAACAATGGCTGAAGGAGGTTTAGATACAACGAGACACCGGTATTGGTACACTCTCATCGACACCATCACCATCGGTTAATGAAGAAATAAAACAATTAAGGATGGAATGTGAAAGTTTGAGGAATGATATCAGCCAGAGGAATATAAGCGCAATCAAACCAATACCAAAGCAAGTGGTTACAAAACCGTTGATAAAACCTGCTAATTGTGACGGCAAAGAACCATGGGAGGACTACTTTGTCCAATTTGACATGGTGACAGATATCAATCAATGGTCTGATGATGAAAGGGCATTGTTTTTGGCCTCTAGCCTCAGAAATAGTGCTCAGAGTATACTGGCTGATATAGAACCAGGAAAACGGAGGAACTATAAGGACTTGATAGAGGCGTTAAGTCAGCGATTTGGTTCAGAGCATCAAACGGAACTATTTCGAGCCGAGCTTAAGAATTTAGTGAGGAAGAGGGACCAGTCTCTCCCTGAATTAGCACAAAAGGTAAAGCGCTTAGGGAGGAAGGCTTATCCAAAAGCTCCATCTGACCTTATTGAGACTCTGTGTCGTGATCATTTTATTGATGCATTGACAGAATCTGATATGCGTGTCCGTATTCAGCAAGCTCATCCAAAGTCCTTGGCCGAGGCCACAAAACTAGCCGTGGAGTTGGAAGCAATTTGTGTAGCAGAAAAACAAAGGGACCGGCGAATATCTCATTCAGTTACAGCTGTACAGCCAAAGGAGGGGGATAGATATGAGGATCGAGAGACAAAGTCAAAAGCAGAACAATTAGAAAGTGACATATTGGCTTTGAAAAAGGAGTTATCAGCTCTGACACAGAAGCAATTCCAGGTTAACTCCTTTAATGGACAAAGGAAATGTTGGAGTTGTGGTAGCCCATCACATTTTAAAAGGGATTGTAAAAGGGGTGAAAAGGAGCGAAACACAACTGGACCAAGAACAACCAGGTTTTCCGAAAACGGCCAGGGTATATATCTTAAAGGTACTGTAAATGGGCAACCTGTAAACTTTTTGATTGATACAGGCTCTAACGTAACCATCCTGAATACATCTGTCTTTGAACAAATTCCTGACGACAAGAAACACAAATTGACCCCAGCAAGGCTTCAAATGAAAATGGCAGACGGCAAGGGGATTGACATTTTGGGTACCGGTAAACTTGACATAAGTGTAGTTGGCCAAAATGTGTGTCATAACTGTTATGTAGCGAGAATTGACCCTGCGTTGGATGGCATTTTGGGATTTGATTTCATGAAAACACACTGCTGTATTGTTGATGTCGGTACCAATACATTTGCAATGAACGGTCAGAGTGAGAGGTGCACTACGGTAGCCCTGAGCGGCATGAGATGTTGTCGTATTGCAGTCAATGAAACCAGTGTAATCTCACCCGGGGAACAGAAACTGGTGACCGGAACAGTATTGGACAAATCAAATGCTCCTTTATGTGGCATGCTAGTGCCAACAGACCACCTCATTAAGAAATATGGGTTACTTCTCGCAAAAGCTGTTGTCAATACGGCAGACGACCGCGTGCCTATTTGTGTTATTAACATGTCCGCGTCGCCCGTTAAGCTTTATAAGAATACAATAGCAGCAACTTGTGAGGCCATAGCGGTAGAAGGAACGGATACAAGTGTGTCTTACGAAGGGGATAGGATGTCTATTCACTCACATTTGGAGAACCTGCATCGTGAATCTTCCGCTAATCTCGATGAAGAACAAACACGAGACTTGCAAAATTTTCTGATACGTTATCAAAACGTGTTCGCGAAAGACAAACGCGACCTTGGCCACACAACGATGGTTAAACACACCATTGACACTCAAAACAGTGCACCTATTCGCCAGCGTCCGAGGCGCTTACCTTTTGCTCAAAGGGAGGAATCGGCCAATCAAGTTGACAGTATGATCAATCAGGACGTGATTGAGCCTTCATCTAGCCCATGGGCGTCGCCAATTGTTTTAGTCAAAAAGAAGGATGGCTCAATGCGATTTTGCGTGGACTATAGGAAGGTCAATAACATTAAAAAGAAAGAATTCTTTCCCATGTCGCGAATCGATGACAAGTTGGACGCGCTAGTCAATGCGAAATGGTTCTGTACCCTGGATACTGGCAGGTGGCAATGGACCCAAAAGATAGTGAGGTAACTGCGTTTGCAACGGAAAATGGATTGTACCAGTTCAAGGTCATGCCATTCGGACTTTGCAACGCTCCGGCTACGGTTGCAAGACTGATGTCAAAAGTGTTAGAGGGTTTTTCATGGAAAACGTGTTTAGTTTACCTTGACGACGTGATTGTGTTTGGTCGGGATGTGAACACCACCTTAGAACGTTTGGGAGGTGTGTTTGACCGGTTACAGTCAGGTGGATTAAAACTCGGTCCGAGCAAATGTCAGTTTTTCAAAAAAAGCGTGACCTACCTGGGTCATATAGTCTCCGGGGAGGGAATCAGTGCAGAACCATCTAAGACACGGGCAGTTCGTGACTGGCCTATACCTACGTGCGTCAGCGATGTGCGAAGCTTTGTGGGCCTATGTTCATACTACAGAAAGTTCATTAAAGGTTTTGCCGAGATTGCTCGACCTTTAAATGCATTGACTGAGAAGGACCGTGTATTTGCATGGACTGACAAGTGTGCTGAGGCCTTTGCTACATTAAAAACAAAATTGACAACGAGTCCGATATTAGCCTATCCAGACCCTTCTGGATCCGCGTTCATCCTTGACACGGATGCCAGTAACGATGCTGTAGGCGCTGTCCTAAGTCAGATACAGGGAGGTCACGAAAAGGTGATTGCGTACTATAGTCGTGCACTCACAAAGGCTGAACGGAGATATTGTGTGACGCGAAAGGAACTGCTAGCTGTAGTAAGCTCCGTCAAACATTTCCATTGTTATTTGTTTGGACGCCATTTCACAATCCGTACCGATCACGGCTCTTTACGGTGGTTGACAAATTTTAAGGACATTGAAGGACAGCTTGCTAGATGGATAGAGACGCTAGGAACCTATGACTATGATATAATTCATAGAAGCGGGTCTAAGCACCAAAATGCAGATGGTCTGTCGCGTAGGCCATGTACTGACTGCTCATTTTGTGATAACGCTGATCACAAGTATGGTAAACCTGTGTTAAAGCAATATATGAGATGTGATGCAGTACGGAAGCCAGTACGCAGACCCACTACATGGATTGGTGGAATCTCACTGGCTGAGATGACACGTGCACAAAGACACGATAAAGACATTGGCTCCATCATTAGATACATGGAGACCTCTCAGCACCGGCCAAAGTGGGAAGATGTATCAACGGAGAGCACCGCAGTGAAAACACTCTGGTCCCAATGGACGAGACTTGAACTTAGAGATGGAATGTTGCACCGTAGGTGGGAAGATGACACAGGGAAGCGTGTGTCATGGCAGCTGATCGTGCCGTCAGAGTACCGTGAGGATGTGCTGACAAATTTGCACAATGCGTTACAGCTGGCCATCTTGGTGTAAACAAGACTGTCTAGAGTGAAAGAAAGGTTCTATTGGTCAGGGATAAGCAGTAGTGTTAAGCAGTGGTGTCGATGTTGTGAGCAATGTTCAGCAAGGAAACGACCATACAAAACACCAAGGGCCCCTATGAAAATTTATTATGCTTTGGACATTATGGGACCACTACCTGTGTCTGACCGAGGAAACAAATATGTCTTGGTCATTGGCGACTATTTCACAAAATGGATTGAGGCTTACCCTATCCCGGACCAAGAGGCGGAAACTGTGGCTACAGCATTAGTGGAACAGTTTATCTGCCGGTTTGGTGTTCCTATGCTGATACATTCCGACCAAGGCCGCAAGTTTGAATCAATCTTATTTCGGGAGATGTGTCGGCTTCTTGGTATCGAGAAAACGCGCACGACGGCTCTCCATCCTCAATCTGATGGAATGATTGAGAGATTCAATCGAACCGTTGAAAACATTTTGGCATTTGGACTGGGATGAGATTCTTCCCATGGCACTTATGGCTTACCGTAGTGCGGAGCATTCATCAACAAAGTTCTCACCGAACGAAATGATGTTGGGACGCGAGGTTCGTCTTCCTGTGGATTTAATCTACGGCACCCTGCCGAGGGAAGCGGACAATAACGGTAGTGTACCTCAGTTTGTGTCAAAACTCGTCAAGTACCTCGACAGTGCACATGATTTGGCAAGACAGAATATAAAAGACTCGTCAGAAAAACAAAAGGGACACTATGATTACAGGACGAACACAAAGTCATATAAAACTGGGGACGCGGTGTGGCTTCATGATCCAAAACGGAGGGTTGGGATAAGTCCTAAACTTCAATCCAACTGGGATGGTCCGTACCTTATCGTGAACTGCCTAAGTGACTTGGTTTTCCGTATACAAAAGACTCCGAGTTCGAAACCTCGCGTTGTACATTTCAATCGTTTGAAATCGTACCATGGTGACTATAAAAACTGGTTAACTACACAGGAAAAAGTCTTAGGGGAGAGCAATTTTCCTGACGACAGAGACTTTGCCTCAGAGCATGGAAGTATTACAGATGATGACAGTGAATGCGCTGATGGACGTGGTAAGAGGTTAAGTAGACCTCCGGACAGATATGGATATATTTGAACATTTAACCTGGACACAAGTGTTGGTGATACGAGAGAGTGACTGAAAGATAGACAGTGGGAATTGGTTAAGTACTTGTGGTAGTTCATAGATGTTAAGTATTGTAGATTCACATTTTTGAGATATTTTGTATTATAGTGTAGCAGTTCATTTTTGTAAAAATTGTACGTTTGTAGATTCGTAGGTATCACTGGGCCTCCGTACTTAGGAAGGGGAAACTGGAATAAGTTTCAGACAGGACACATGTGGGTCACATGTCTTTTTCAAGGAGGGGGCAGTGTGATAAATTGGTGTTTGTATATCCCTAATCGTGTATATTGTGTTTAGAGTAATGGGTTGATAAGGATGATGGGGCATGCATTTAGTACAGGCTTTAATTGACACCGGGAGGGGGGACCATACTGATAGCGGGCAGGCTGGCACATAGCTGAGCCGAAGAGTTGACCTTTAAGGTCATGGGAGCTGTCACTGCTACAGGGCTGACCTCTGAGGTACACCTAGGAGGAGTAATAGCTGGGGAAGACCAGCGTGGGGTCCGGGGAGAAAGGGGAGTGATCTAGTGGAGGACAGACGTGATTAGGCTGTCTCCTGTATAGCTTAGCTGAGGTAAATTAGCTAGGGGATTCTCTCAGGTGTTGTTATTGACTATGCTGACCGTGATGTTGTACGTTGTATATAAAGTGTAAATAAACTTGTAAATAGAACTCTGCTGTGAAATGTTGTATTCTGGAACCCTCCTCCCCGTCACGTTACATAATAATTACAATCATGTTGTATTACTTGAACTTGCTATCAATAAGCTATTTTCTATTATTAGGTTGAAGTATTTATATGGAATGTTAGCAATATTATGGGCCATATTTTCATTTTACGGGACAAAAACAGCTTAATTGGACTTAGTTAAAGATTTTGGGTAAGCTTGAGGTTAAAGTTTTTAGGCAATTTTTGTGTGTGTAGTGTTGGATCACCACCTTCAATGCAGGCTGTTGTCTATTATAAGGTTGGAATTATATATTGAGTATAAGCAGTGTTCTGAATTATATTTTCATTATCTTAGGGGTCAAAACTTGTTGAATGGACTTGGTTAAATGTTTTGGGCAAGTTTTTTGTGCAGTGTTGGATCGGTCACCGCCAACAATACGCTGTTGACTAGTTCACGTTGGCTGTTCATCTCTTCTTATATGCTAAGTTACAGCAAAACCTGGTTACATTACGATCATTTGTTTGAAGAAATGTTGGCAATGTAAAGGGGTTTGGCAATAAATTTAGGGAAACGTAAAGGAATTCTTAAGAAAAACATAATTAAGGAACCTGAAAATGTGTTGGCGGTAAGTTATGTGGCAAGTGAAATGACGTGCAATGTATCGAGGTTTTACTGTACATTTGTTACAACATATGTCACCAATAGGCGAGCTATGCTGTTCTCCAACAGCTCTGGTTTATAATATATGTAATTGCACCCTGGTTTAGTGAATAGTTTAAAATATTACATAATTGAACGCAGACTTCTGCAGACCTTACAACTTACGTTGCCGAAGTCATTGATTTCTAGCATAAGCCATGACCAACTGATCTCGGGATTAATATAACAGTTATAATGTTCCACAGTTTTGACTGAAAACGAAGTACATGTAAGGAAGGCGTGAACATGCCAATTTGTCAATCATTATGTTGAGATTCTGAAGCCAGGACTTAATATGTCTTTGTTTATGAACGTTTTTGAAGTTTGTTTGACAACCATAAGAGTGATATTGTCAAAAGTATGACGTCCAATGAACTATTAAAACAACATTTGGGAATGATCACAATCATCATTCATACGGAATTACATACGAAAAAAGGCGTTCAACATGTTACATTTCTGTAGCAGATTCATCGTTGTCGTAAGAGATCCACGAGCAATCTACAATAGAGCCAGGGACAGTCCCCGATCGCTTATTTCTCCACAAAACCTCAACAGCGTTAAGGGCACTTTTGATGTAATTATGATTTATCGTTTTGCGATGCTAAGAGTATTTTGAGCTCCTCGCGATGTTAACATGTAGTGTTATCATAAATGAACTTAACTCTTTAGACACACTTTAACATGGAATACAGAGAGAATTTGTGTAATAAATACAACACAGACGCATGTAGTACACTGTTCTATGCTTATTTCCGGCATGGCATAGCTTGTATATCTAGAAATAGAAATTATAAAATAATGATTTGAAAAATCGCAGCGACAGCGATTATTGCCTCTTCTTACCATACATTTAATACTCATTTTCATTGATTGATGAATTCAGACTTTTTAGAATTATTCAGCAGAACGTAAGCATAGTTTAACAATTAGTCAATACGAGAGAGCAGCAAGGATAATTAAGTTCAGTAAGCTACACGTTTTGAATAAGATTCTAAGAATCGAACATTAATTTTGGTTTGAAAATGAGGAAACGGATTACATTCACTGCCAGACGGACGCCTATCTGTACGAGTTAAGGAAAAGCGATTACCAAACACAAAAGAATGAGACGACCAGTTTAAAAATTTACAACTTCTGTTAAGATCTTAGTTGAATTCGTAAATGCAATCTAAAAAACAGTAGAGGCCGATGTTTTTCTAACATTCAAAGACAACAACAGTGTCATTGTGATCAGTTATGATATTGACATATGTGTGATATTGACAAACTCGATCGCAATATATCAACGGACCCCGACATTTTCCTCCAAAATTTTACTGTTGAAACAAATGAATTAATCACTCTTGAGTATTATACATTCAAATTTATTGACAATGATAAAATACTGGACGATATAAGAGAAGCAGCGTAACGGAAATTGTTAAAAGCGGAAAAAACAATGTCAATTCCTAGCTTATAGACCTATTAGTCTGACAACTTTCCTAGGAAAGCTACTACAAAGATTGGTCCATGACGCAATTGTCGAGTTATTCGCAATATAACGGAGATCGTAAAAAAGCAAATTTACTGGAAGTATAGGAGCATTGGGCCGAAACGCTTGACGATGAGGAATACGTAGACGCCATATATTTGGACATTATTAGCAAAGCAATAAATAAAGAACCGCCGTTTATCAGCAAAATTGCACGAGTATGACATGAGGTAAATTACTAGAGTTGATTAAGAACTTTTACATGTAGGGGTACAGTTTCGTTCACGTCTGCTCCTTTAACAAGATTTGTTAATAAATTAACGATATCTTGTAAACAACTCTTTTACTTAACAATTTATAAAGTGTGAGCTTTGACTTTTTAAACTACATGTAATCATACTATGATGTTAACATCAACATATTCCTTTGTGGGATTTGTGAAATATCTCGTACACTATCGACCTTTTTACTTCAATTAGACAAGGGTTAACTCTGACCCTTTAATTCAAACCAATAATTACCAAAAATGAATCAGTCGAAGAGCTCATTGTTACCATACTATTGTATAATAATAAAAATGTTATAGGGAAAAAAGTAATACAGTGTAAATAAATATAAAAGTCTCCCTAAAATATCATCAAAAGACTTACCGCTATGTACATTTTTATTTTAATCAATTTGTTTTAATTGCTTGATTCTGCAGTTTCACGGGCTAATAAGCAAGTCATAATGAACTTACACCAATTAATTTTAGCTACAAATCCTGCTACATAAGGTTTGTGTTCGATGATTAGATAAGTTTCCATCACACATAACTCATCGGAATTCGTCCCCAATTCCTTTCATTACAGCTCCGAATTGCCTCGAGGAAAAAAGACATGAGGTCCACAAGTCATATTTCTCTTACTCGGATAATCCTGCAATCAAAATATTTGATTAAAAGTAGAATTCAACAGATTGAGTAACAGATTATGTTTGTTTATGCATATTGGGTAGGGATTTCAACTGTTTCTATGTTATGACCAAGGAAATTGTCCATATCATTGATATATTCCTCTCTTTATACATAAAACAAGCAAAGGCGTTTAAGAAGACTTCAAGTTTTGAATCTCGACCGTTTTCAATCTATAAACCAGGGATCAAGACGTCTCGTTGTGCCTTTTATGAGTGTTTGTGGCAATAAAGTTGAGATTTTGATTGTTGGTCATCTTGGATTTCATTATCCGGAAAATATGGCGTTATTAACGTAGAATCAAGTATGATCAAACCGGACAAAGCAGTTTTGAAAGTGTATCATCCCAGCTGCTCTATATTTGTATTAGTTGCTCTGGCTAGTGACTGTCTCAGATTTTAGGATCCCGGTAATTTACATATGGCTTCATTCATGTAGAAAATCTGCTAAATATTATACACAACTTACAGTCTGTACCACCATAAATAGGCATAACAATATAGTTTGACAATGTCACTTGTATTTTTAGTATCGTTGAACTTGACCGTACGAGCTTTTTAAAAGCCCTATGCCACTTATTTATGTAACAATGTATCGCCATGTAAAAATTCAAAAATGTTAAACTTGTGAAATCTTGGATATTTGCCGGAAACGAAAGTGTGATCAGACACCGTGATCACAATAGGCAATCGCATCTGGGCCCTGAATATCGTTATAATGCATGTTTATGAGTGGTGGACGTTTGTAGCAAAATTGTGTCCTATTTTATGACCGTCTCTATGGGCCAAATGGTTGAAACATCATCTATACAACAAATGATCGACTTGCGCCAGTGATGTCTCAGACCAACCGGGGATCACGATTCGGGGGAAATAGACCTGGTGTTTCCCACTGAATGATCGTAAAAGACGACCCATGTGGTCCGCCCTGCACAGGGTCAGGGTTTTCAAAATTATTTCTTTGCACTATTTCGATCCCTGAAATTCACATAGAGTTTGTCTTCGAAAACGTTCAGAAGAAGACAAATCTGTTGATGGCTTAAATCCAAAACAATTTCCATAGTTCCATTGATGCATCCGTTTGATTGAAATCAATGCAGTTGTTTAGGAGTAAGTTTTTACAGGAATGGGTTGCCATACAGTGGACGCCGCGCCACGTTATAATCTTTACATGTAACAGTAGCGTAAGCTCTCTGGTCCTTCAGATTCAGTTAAATAATGTGTGATTAACAGCAAAATGAGCATCAGTTGTACACGAATTTGAAATGTATCATATCATTTATTAGTTGACATGAGAAACATGCATATAAAGTACAGCATAAGATTTGAAAAAATTGAGAGAAGATTTGGCAAGTTTACTTTTTTCATTTATTTTTCACATTATCCATGAATATGAATCATGAAATTACTCCTACATAATACACGATATTAAGTATATATAATTGTACGCACACATACATTTACGTTCATTCACATATATATCCATCTATATGACTTCTCGCAAACTATTCGCATCTATCAAATCAGTAATCAGTTACAGTTTGCTATAAACGTTTCAGACATACAGCCAGACAATTCAATTCTGATAGACCACTATATTCACATAAGAATCAGAATCCACTTTTGCCATGATAATTGCAATTAAGGCTTTGCAAAAACCTATAAGATTCACAAACACACACTTAACGTAAAATAGATTGCATTCGATATTAACTTTATATTTAACAAAATCGTTGTACTTTGTGGTTACTGAGTACAAACATTATGTCCTACAGTTAAGTTATTAAATCATCGGGAACTGGTAATCACTAAAATCCTTAGGTTCTTACGGGTTCCCTGCTGTTACCAGCGTGTAACGTGATACTGGAAACTTGATGATGTTACCCGTGTTACTTTAATCCCTTGTTGGAGATTTGCGACGAGGACGCCATGACACGGGTCCCCGGTACAGATTGAGTCCTGAAACGAAACAAGATATATATGATATAACACCAAACCTGATACAGCTTCCTATCTACAATGTAGCTAGGAACAGCCAGTCTAGGGCACCGTTCAGTTCATAGATATACAATTAAAACAAAACAAAAAAACCAATGTATCAATCATTTGTATGGATTCCCAATATCATGCGCTAACCACATGTGCTATCCCTATATTGCCTAGGTAGACAATATCTTAACGTGTGTGTAATCATACGTGTATGGTGGAGGTGTATAATGCTTTTTAACACTGCTACCAACAGCATGCGCCTTTCATCGTGCCACCTCACTTGAATGCTACAGCAAATGCATTGAAACGCTAATGCTATACCATTTCATAGTTATCCTAGGTTGCTATGTATGAGTGGTGAGGGTAGGAGAATGAATGGGTGCATGAAGGAGTCTCATTTACGTAAAACAATGTGTCTCCTTTGATCCTTAATGCTCCTCAACCAAGTAATCAAAATTCATTCAGCCGTACTTGGCTATTAGACTTTTCGATGAAATGTTGACTGATGGAAGATAATCAACTCAAGATAAATAAAAAAGGAACAATTTTAATCTCTTGTAAAAGGGGAAATAAAGAATGTCTGTCTGTCTGTCTGTCCATTTCGCTCTATTTAAAATTGTAACATTCTACTTTGAAGCAAGAATTCCCATATTTGATTTGTTTTGTGAGGTTAAATGAACACGATGCTTTAATACATTTAAAACAGCAAAACAAATCTACACGTGGTAGACTAACCAATAATAAATGTTAAAATTGTTAAGTTGCAGTGTATATTGGGCCTTGGTGAGTAAACAAGGACAGCTCGGCAAGCCCTCTCACCATATCCTATATTTCCTGCTCCTGTCCAAGTCATAAGTTGCTGATGTTAAATCATATGGAGTATGCTCCCTATAATACTTCTGATTAGAATTAGATTTACAACACGGCCTCATATATCGAAGTTGAAAATAAGCAACATGAAATGTAAATCCTAGATAGACTTGTGACGTACTTATTAGCTGATGGAACGAGGGCCTTCTTTTTCATATTCCCAGGATTTTGTTGTGTCTGAGATGTCATCGCCTTCCTACAAATGAAAAAAAAGGCAGTTTCGTTTCATCAACACAGTTGCATTATGTAGTTAAGATTATATTCTTTTCAGCAAAGTATAATAAACACTCGATCAAATGTTATAGGTGATATATTGTTGCATATATATACACATACATATGTATAACCCCAGTATAACAAACGTTACTGACAACGCCTTATTTTATCTGGCAAACCTCACAAACAAATATTTCAGATGTTGCTTTTTTAGAATTCAACTCATTTACCTCTCGGCCCGACATACAAATTGTAACGTGGTATATTCACAAATAATGACTGGTTTCTTAAATACACAGGTTCAATTGGTTTAATTTTGAAGTTTTTAATAGCGGAGAAATCTGTGGATGCTTAATATCAAATCATATAATACATAAAATATCGCTGATAGTAAATCAGCGTTTGAAATGGAGGGAGAACGGGTAAAGAAAAACATATACTTTTAAGATCAAATATTGTTGAATAGGTACATTGTGATTAGGGCACGGATAGCATAAAAAACGTTCCTGAAAAAGAATCTTATAACTCAGCTTAACCATACATTTCTGTTTTTGCAAATTATTCGAATGATACAGTTTAGCAGTGAGATAGTTAGAATTATCCAAAAAATGCCATGATATAGGTTTTATTTTAATGAGTTTAGTGGGAAAATGACCGGTTTGATTAAAGTATCTCGTCTGCATACATTAAATCAAATTATAAAGAAATTAATCCTCGTAAGTGATGAGGAACCATCCTTAATATGTCCGTCTAAAAAACACTTAAGAAACCATGTTCAGAAGCTCATGATATATAAATCCGATCGTTCTTATAATTACGTGTAGTATCTTAATATATCAATACTCATCATATTGTATTATCATCATTTCAAACAATTTCTTTTTTTCAACAATTCTTGTTTAAAGATGAAAACTGCACAAACATTTTGTTCTGTTAAAAATTCTTTCTCTGATCAATATAATCAATGGTGGGCCATTAAATTACATCAAAGGACCTCAGTCATTAGCAACACGAAGATTAAAGGTTGACGAGAACCGCTACATATAAAGCGTGCTGATGTTCGTGTGCACAAAAGTAAGATTGTTTTCACTGATAACTCCAAGTAGCAACTTGTGGGTATGAAATGGTAATGAAGTTCTTACATTAGAATACCCTTTTTGTACTCATTTTTTAAATCAACAAAAAAAGTTTAATCGCGTGAAAGTATCTTTAAATGTGAATAAACAACTCCGATAAAGTGAATAACAAAATTTATCTCGGTTAAATGTTGTTTACCTTTTGTCTGTCTTGCCTTTGAACACCTTGTTGATGTCAAGCTGCGACGACTGAGCTCGACTCTTAGTGTCCTCTGAGCTTTCACACAGGATTTCCCTGTCTAGTTCAAGACGGACTTGGGCGAAAACATTGAACCATTGCTACAAAATATATCAAAGCTAGGATACAACATTAAATTCATTCGGTATAAAATGAATTGGTCAAAATAGGTAAATTTAATAGACATTTTTTACCGATTATATAAAATCAATGAAAAGAAGATCTTGATGTATCAACAAATGGAATTTAGTCATTATCAGTGATCATATTAAAAAGTATTGCTCTTTATAAAAGAGGTGTAATTAGCATTTCTGTAAAGCAAAAGCATAGTGGTTTTGCTGGATTTTCAAACTATAAAAGCATTGGTTACTCTGTGTAGCCTTAACTTAACTGTGTTTTGACTAGTAGCTTTAACTTACCTCTGTTTGTTGACTTTTGACTAGTAGCTTTTACCTATCTGTGTTTGTTGACTGGAAGATTTTACCTACCTGTGTTTGTTGACTGATAGCTTTTACCTATCTGTGTTTGTTGACTGGTATATTTTACCTACCTGTGTTTTGCACAATATTTAAGAATGTAATTACTCAATCCATCAGTACCTGTTGATTTTTTAATATTAGCAGACTGTTATAATTTCTGTACCTCATCGGGAGTTGTCTGTACATGGTCGAAATATTGTTTGTTGCATTTATTGGTGGCAAAATACCTATCTGTGTTTGTTGACTGGTAAAATTTACCTACCTGTGTTTGTTGACTTGTAGAATGAACCTCCCTACGTTTGTTGACTGATAGTTTTTACCTACCTGTGTTTGTTGACTAGTAGCGTTAACCTATCTGTGTTTGTTGACTGGTAGTTTTTTAACAACCTGTGTTTGTTGACTAGTAGCCTTAACCTATTTGATTGTTGACCGATCGCCATAACCTACCTGTGTTTGTTGACTAGTAGCGTTAACCTATCTGTGTTTGTTGACTGGTAGTTTTTTAACTACCTGTGTTTGTTGACTAGTAGCGTTTACCTATCTGTGTTTGTTGACTGGTAGTTTTTTAACTATCTGTGTTTGTTGACTAGTAACCTTAACCTATTTGATTGTTCACCGATCGCCATAACGTACCTGTGTTTGTTGACTAGTAGCTTTTACCTATCTGCGTTTGTTGACTGGTTGATTTTACCTATCAGTATTTGTTGACTTGTAGATTTTACCTACCTGTGTTTGTTGACTAGTAGCCTTAACCTATTTGATTGTTGACTGATCGCCATAACCTATCTGTGTTTGTTGACTTACAGCTTTTACCTATCTGTATTTGTTGACTTGTAGATTTTACCTACCTGTGTTTGTTTACTAGTAGCCTTAACCTATTTGATTGTTGACTGATCGCCATAACCTACCTGTGTTTGTTGATTAACAGCTTTTACCTATCTGTGTTTGTTGACTAGTAGCCTTAACCTATTTGTTTGTTTATTGATCGTCATAACCTACCTGTGTGTGTTGACTAGTAGCTTCACATACCTGTGTTTGGTAACTAGTAGCATTAACCTACTTGTTTGTTGACTAGTAGCCATAACCTACCTGTGTTTGTTGACTATTAGCATTAACCTACTTCCTTGTTGACTAGTAGCCATAACCTTCATGTGTTTGTTGACTAGTAACTTCACCTACATGTGTTTGTTGACTAGTAGCCTTAACCTATTTGTTTGTTGACCGATCGCCATAACCTACCTATGTTTGTCGACTAACAGCTTTTACCCATCTGTGTTTGTTGACTAGTAGCTTTTACCTTCATGTGTTAGTTGAATAGTAGCCTTAACCTTTTTGTTTGTTGACTGATCCTCATAATCTTCCTGTGTGTGTTGACTAGTAGCAATAGCCTACCTGTGTTTGTTGACTAGAAGCCATAACCTACCTGTGTTTGTTGACTAGTAGCTTTTACCTTCCTGTGTTAGTTGACTAGTAGCCTTAACCTTTTTGTTTGTTGACTGATCCTCATAATCTTCCTGTGTATGTTGACTAGTAGCAATAGCCTACCTGTGTTTGTTGACTAGAAGCCATAACCTTCCTGTGTTTGTTGACTAGTAGCTTTTACCTTCATGTGTTAGTTGAATAGTAGCCTTAACCTTTTTGTTTGTTGACTGATCCTCATAATCTTCCTGTGTGTGTTGACTAGTAGAAATAGCCTACCTGTGTTTGTTGACTAGAAGCCATAACCTACCTGTGTTTGTTGACTAGTAGCTTCACCTACCCGTGTTTGTTAACTAGTAGCATTAACCTACTTGTTTGTTGACTGCTTGCTTCTTACCAACCTGTGTTTGTTGACTAATAGCTTTTATATACCTGTGTTAGTTGACTAGTAGCCTTAACCTACTTATTTGTTGATTGATCGTCATAACCTACCTGTGTGTGCTGACTAGTAGCTTCACATACCTGTGTTTGTTAACTAGTAGCATTTTCCAACCTGTGTTTGTTTAATAGCAGCATTAACCTTCATGTGATTGTTGACTAGTAGCATTAACCTACTTCCCTGTTGACTAGTAGCCATAACCTTCATGTGTTTGTTGACTAGTAGATTCACCTACCTGTGATTGTTGATTAGTAGTTTTTACCTACCTGTGTTTGTTGACTAGTAACTTCACCTACATGTGTTTGTTGACTAGTAGCCTTAACCTATTTGATTGTTGACCGATCGCCATAACCTACCTATGTTTGTCGACTAACAGCTTTTACCCATCTGTGTTTGTTGACTAGTAGCTTTTACCTATCTGCGTTTGTTGACTGGTTGATTTAACCTATCTGTACTTGTTGACTTGTAGATTTTACCTACCTGTGTTTGTTGACTAGAAGCCATAACCTACCTGTGTTTGTTGACTAACAGCTTTTACCTATCTGTGTCTGTTGACAAGTAGCTTTTACCTACCTGTGTTTGTTGACTAGTAACTTCACCTACATGTGTTTGTTGACTAGTAGCCTTAACCTATTTGTTTGTTGACCGATCGCCATAACCTACCTATGTTTGTCGACTAACAGCTTTTACCCATCTGTGTTTGTTGACTAGTAGCTTTTACCTTCCTGTGTTAGTTGACTAGTAGCCTTAACCTTTTTGTTTGTTGACTGATCCTCATAATCTTCCTGTGTGTGTTGACTAGTAGTTTTTACCTACCTGTGTTTGTTGACTAGAAGCCATAACCTACCTGTGTTTGTTGACTAGTAGCTTCACCTACCTGTGATTGTTGATTAGTAGTTTTTACCTACCTGTGTTTGTTGACTAGTAGCTTCACCTACATGTGTTTGTTTACTAGTAGCCTTAACCTATTTGTTTGTTGACCGATCGCAATAACCTAACCATGTTTGTCGATTAACAGCTTTTACCCATCTGTGTCTGTTGACTAGTAGCTTTTACCTACCTGTGTTTCTTGACTAGTAGCTTCACCTACATGTGTTTGTTGACTAGTAGCCTTAACCTATTTGTTTGTTGACCGATCGCAATAACCTAACTATGTTTGTCGATTAACAGCTTTTACCCATCTGTGTTTGTTGACTAGTAGCTTTTACCTTCCTGTGTTAGTTGACTAGTAGCTTTAACCTTTTTGTTTGTTGACTGATCGTCATAACCTACCTGTGTGTGTTGACTAGTAGCTTCACATACCTGTGTTTGTTAACTAGTAGCATTTACCAACATGTGTTTGTTAACTAGCAGCATTAACCTTCATGTGTTTGTTGACTAGTAGCCATAACCTGCCTGTGTTTGTTGACTTGTAGCCATAACCTTCATGTGTTTGTTGACTAGTAGCTTCCCCTACCCGTGTTTGTTAACTAGTAGCATTAACCTACTTGTTTGTTGACTGCTCGCTTCTTACCAACCTGTGTTTGTTGACTTATAGCTTTTATATACCTGTGTTAGTTGACTAGTAGCCTTAACGTTGACTAACAGCTTTTACCTATCTGTGTCTGTGGACTAGTAGCTTTTACCTGCCTGTGTTTGTTGATTTGTAGCCATAACCTTCATGTGGTTGTTGACTAGTAGCTTCACCTACTCGTGTTTGTTAACTAGTAGCTTTTACCTATCTGTGTTTTTTGACTTGTAGATTTTACCTACATGTGTGTGTTGACTAGTAGCTTCACCTACTCGTGTTTGTTAACTAGTAGCTTTTACCTATCTGTGTCTGTTGACAAGTAGCTTTTACCTACCTGAGTTTGTTGTCTAGGAACTTCACCTTTCTGTGTTTGTTGACTAGTAGGTTAATGCTACTAGTTAACCTTCATGTGTTTGTTAACTAGTAGCTTCACCTACCTGTGATTGTTGACTAACAGCCTTTACCTATCTGTGTCTGTTGACAAGTAGCTTTTACCTACCTGTGATTGTTGACTAGTAACTTCACCTACGTGTGTTTGTTGACTAGTAGGTTAATGCTACTAGTCAACACTCACATGAAGGTTAATGCTGCTAGTTAACAAACACAGGTAGGTAAATGCAACTAGTCAACACACACAGATAGGCTATGGCTTATAGTCAACAAACACATGTAGGTTAAGTTACTAGTCAACAAACCCAGGTAGGTAAAAGCTACTAGGTAGGTTATGACGATCAATCAACAAACTAGTAGGTTAAGGCTACTAGTCGACAAACACATGTAGGTGAAGGTACTAGTCAACAAACACAGATGGGTAAAAGCTGTTAGTCAACGTTAAGGCTACTAGTCAACAATCACATGAAGGTTAATGCTGCTAGTAAACAAACACAGGTAGGTAAAAACTACTAATCAACAATCACAGGTAGGTTATGGCGATCGGTCAAAAAACAACTAGGTTAAGGCTTCTAGTGAACAGCGACATGTAGGTAAAATCTACAAGGCAAAAAACACAGATGGGTAAAAGCTACTAGTCAACAGACACAGATAGATAAAAGCTGTTAGTCAAAAAACCCAGGTAGGTTATGGCGATCGGTCAACAAACAAATAGGTGAAGGCTACTAGTCAACAAACATGAAGGTTAATGCTACTAGTAGCATTAACCTTCATGTTTGTTGACTAGTAGCCATACCCTGCCTGTGTTTGTTGACTTGTTGCCATAACCTTCATGTGTTTGCTGACTAGTAGCCTTCACCTATT